GTGTGAGTGTGTTTGTGAGAGTGTGTGTGTATTTGTGTGTGAGTGTGTGTGTGAGAGTGAGTGTGTGTGTGAGAGTGTGTGTGTGTGTTTTTGAGTGTAAGTGTGTGTGTGTGAGTGTGTTTAGTTATTCGTGAAGCTTTTCTAAAACAGATGTCAGTAAACCCAGATTCCGTGACGCTTGTTAGTGTAAACCGTTCACTGCTGGTCATCCGTTTGCTTCATAGTCAGAGATGTTCAGTAAACACAGGGTGTTGATGTGACCCACGTCCATCAGCGGGTGACTGCTAAACTCCTCGGCTCCAGTAATGATGCTGACGACCGTGAGAACAGATGAGCTGAGAGTGAATGCGGTCAGTAGGTGAGCTGGGCAGCAGGTTTAGGTCTCGTGTGAGTGTGTGTGTGTGTGTGTGTGTCCTGCATCAGGAACAGATTAAACTGACAAACAGTGGTTCTGAACAATAGTGCTGCGGATATCCTCCTCCTGCTGCAGGGGCTGCTGGGAGCTCCAGAGGGTCAGAGAGGAGGACTGACGGATATCAGGCGCTCAGAGCTGCTCACACACACACACACACACACTCTCTCACACACACACTCACACACACACACACACGGCTCCAGCGGGAGTTTCTGCTTCTGCTTGACCACCCGCTCAGACGTCTGCTGTTCTCCATCATGTGACCCGCAGCGCTCTGAGAGGGAAAGGAGGAGATCGCCTCTTCTGCTCCACACACACACACACACACACACACACACACACACACACACACACACACTGGATGAGTTCAGTGTGGAGCGCCACTGATCACTGCTCATTACAGTTAGTGTGCAGTGCACAACGATAGCCACGCCAGCCAGTAGTGCGCTACATCGTCACATGACCTTATTTCATGACGTTAATTCAGTGAGGGGCATCCAGTGATCATCTCAAATAAATCATTCACTCACCTCAGCTTTATTTATAAAGCACATTGTTTCAAAGCAGCTTTACAGAAAAATATTCCAAAAAAAAACTGTTAAAAGACATTTCATTGGACCCTTTTATTGTAAAACAGTTAATGAATAAAATTCTTAAAGTTTTAAAGTTTCGATTGATTGGACATGCTTTTTTGATTATGAAAATTATTAAACCATTAAAATGGAAGACACAGATTTTCAGAAAAACAGAGCATATCACAAAGCCCTAAACATTTAATTGGTTATACTTTTAACAAATTGTTAAATTGTATAAGTTTCATGATTTTTAATGAATTAGAAATGCTTTTTGATTACTAAAATTTTATTTAACCAATAAAATCTGAAAAATTAAGATGGAGAAAAATGGAGTTTGGGAATAAATAAAAATGTATGCTATAATCAGACACATTGCAGGTCTCGTGTGTTTTTCATGCACACGTATGAAGCATGTTCTGTTGAAGTGTTGATGGCGTGTCAGTCAGAACAGACCTTCGCTGCTGTTCTTCATCATGTGACCTTCAGCCGGTCTCTCCTGAGGCATTATGGGAGCTGTTCACGTCTCAAGCGCAGGGTTTTCCCACGCTCACGATCCGTAGAGCGAACTAGTGAAGCGTTTAGTGAAGTATTAGCACTTGCTGTGATAACAGCAGAAGAGAGCCGAACACGCTGTCTGTCTGTGGTTTGTTGTGGTGATGGATTGTGGGATGAGTGTGAAAACATGCAAACGTTTCTCTGATCCTAAACCTCACGACACGGTAACGGCTGCTTCTGGAAACTCGTTCAGGGAAAGTGTGTGTGTGTGTGTGTGTGTGTGTATGAGAGTAACGCTCCAGGAATGATGTGCTGATGATGACATCACTGAATCGCAGTGCACTGTTGTGATGTTATGATGAGTTTCTCCTGGATACTCTCACACTGAGACTGATTGTGTTTGGCTGCGTTTCATCACAGATCATGTGTTTGTTTTATCAGCCAATTATCTGCTCAAGGACGGGGTGCCATGGTAACGCTCTGAGTTCGATCCGTGAGCGTTCCTCTCTTCTCAGTGTGTGTGTGTGTGTGTGTGTGTGTGTGTAAACATGATCTCACTGAACACCTGTGTGCCTGAGGGCCGTTTGTGCTGGTCAGGAATCATTCCTCCAGACGACGGAGCCAGATGGAGATGATCAGAGTTGATTTCAGCTGAAACTAACGGGAGGGACTCGTGTGAATCTGCTCATACTATAGATGAGCTTCAGGTCGGTTTGTTGTTGATCTCCTCACACACAGCTGATTTGATCGCTCGTTACAGACATACACAGTCGTTTGACCTCTAAAACTGAATGTCTGAGAAATATTCAACATTTTTCTTATTGCATATTATTTCTGAACAAACAGGATGTGTTTTTGTAGGGCCCGATGAAAGTCCTTTTTAATGGTTCAATTTAATTTTGTATATTTTTATTAACCAAAAAGCATGTCTAATTAATTAAACCCATGAAACATATACAACTTAAAGTCTTTTTGCGGCTTAATATTGACAGACACTAGTCCATAATATCACGATTTGATTTAAGTGTAATGACCTACTTTTGATTAATTCATCCAAACTTTGACAAATTCCGTGACATTCCGCGTTATACCATAAATTCAATTTTTATGACTGATTCTGCGATTCCGTCCATGCTTTCTGCATTGTGAAAGTCATAGGGCCCTAGTTTAAGACAGTTTGTACAATGTGTGTCTTCATATTTCATGCAAAGCTATTTAACAAGTCATTAGTTTTGTATTTACACCATGTTGATCTTCATGTGTGCTGCACTACTTGGAACGTAACTCTCTTTAACCAGATGGTTAATAAAGAGAGTCTTACTTCAATCATGTTGTTGTTACGTTTTTAAGTTGACCTGTTAAGCGTTAAAAAATGAAGTTTTTTGAAAAATGGCGAATCTGTTTTTGCGGTATGGTCCAGTCCTAGTGTGAGTCCTGGTTTAGTGCAGGTCCCGTCATTCAGCTGCTCAGTAATCAACATAAATCAGTACTCGACTGGGGCGAAACGGGCAATGTGCACATGAACATATCAAATATGACACGCATGCACACGGGTCACATGACCAGCGTTTCTCAACCCTGTGTCGTTATCACAGGAGCTGAAGACACGAGTTCTGTTCTGATGATCCTGTGATCAGGGTGGAGATCCTGAACGTCATATTCATAGCACATTCACAGTTTTATGATCGGATGAGTGAAGGGATGATGAACTTCAGCGGTGTTAGACTTCATCCGCTCCTGCCAGACTGTGTGTTATTGTAACCCAGATTTGGCTGCAGACGGGCCCCATGGGGGCGGGGCCAGAGAGATGACATCACTGCAGCAGAGCATCATTCATGCTGAGAAGTAAATGAGACTAGACGCTGGGATTGAGTTCATGTGACTTCAGTGAGTTAATCAGAGCTGAAACCAGGTATTTACCTGAGCGCGTGTGTGTGTGTGTGTGTGTGTGTGTTTAACCAGACTTGTGAGGGTCAAATGTCCAATTTTACGTGTCTTCACTAGTTAAAAACGCTTATAAATCTGTCTAATCATGTTTGTTTAAATCTAGTTTTGTGCAGGTTTCGGTGAGAGTGTGTTTAGGGTTAAATAGAAAAATCATTGACCTGATAGGAAAACAGTGGAAGTCTATGAGATGAGCTCTGTGATACTGAATAGTGAAGCAAACGTGTGTGTGACTTTCATTTGTGAAGAGCTCAGGATGATCTCTCACACACACACACACACACACACACTCATGCACACACGTGAGGTTTTTATCACTCATCAGGCTGCAGTCAGCAGAAGTCAAAGGTCAAGGCCTTTTAGAATGTCATGTGATCTGAGCATTTGGTTTCAATTTCTCATTTGTGTTTTTTTTTAGACAGAATGAGGCCTTGTGTTTATACCTGCATGGAGCCGCTGAGTGAGTGTGTGTGTGTGTGTGTGTGTGTGTGTTTATGAGTTGTACACAGGACCATCATTATTTGAAGTTAGGACAAAGTTAGTTAGTCAGACTGGTTATAAGGGCTGTGTTTATGCAGCTGGCTGCCGATCATAGTTACTCGTGGGAAACTTTGAGTTAGATGCGTGTCAATTATAAGTTGTTGTTGATTGTAATGAGATGTAATTGTTAGTGTTGCTCCTGTTTGACATTTTCACTACTCATCATAAAACACGAGCAGTGAGCTGCTTTAAGACCGGACGGACTCGTGAGCCCATTCCCCATCATGCCCCGTGCAGCGCAGGAGTGACGAAGCGTCGTGTGTTCCTGCAGTGACTCGTGGGTGTTCGGCTGGTTAACCCGTGACATCATCCACGTGTGTTTGTGGTCAGCAGTCTCTGAAGAACAATCACAACAATCACAGTCTCAGCTGTTTCTCTCGATCGCAGCTGAACCGACTGAAGACGCCTGATTATAGGATCCATCACAGTCTGGACTGGCAAAAGCACATTTGTATTGCCGAAGCTTTCAAATAATAGAAAACATAAAAAAAGGCAGTTCAGAACAAATTGAGTTTGAACAAGCCATAGGGAAGGAAAAACACACAAAAAACTGATTATAAATGATGATTATAGTACAGAGATCATGTGACTTAAAAAGAGAGTGTATTGTGTTATTCTGAATATTTTGCTGAATTTGAACTTTGCTTATATGGAAGCTTAAAAAACGTAATTGACTTATATCGCTACTCTGACTTTTTTTTCTCAGTTTTAAGTTCATTTCTTGCCATTTTGACTTCTGTGTTTACATCTCAGTTTGGTTTCACAGTTCCAAAAATTTAAATTTAAATTTTGAATTCAAAAATTCAAAATTGAGATAAAAAGTGGCAATTACCTTTTTTATTTTTTTATGCCGTGAAGGAAACAAAAAAAAAACAGAATTACGAAATGTAACCTCAGAATTCTGGGGGGAAGCTAAACTTTTTTAAATTTTTTATTCTGTGGTGAAACGGGCTTCCATACGGTTTGTGATGCTTCAGATTATGTTTTTAACTGCTGTATTTATGTTTCTGTCTTCCTGCAGTTGTGTTTGTGAGATGATGGTCAAACCAGACGAGGAGGAGGAAGAGAGACAGAAAGAGGAAGGAATTCGCGTCTGAACGACACACTGAGAAGAAGAGAGAGAGAGAGAGAGAGAGAGACAGCTGTTCCAGCCATACGACACACCCACAGCTCCCGGTGACCTTCGACCTCAGCTGCACACCATGTGTCACGTGATCGTGACGTGCCGTTCGATGCTGTGGACGCTGCTCAGCATCGTGGCGGCGTTCAGCGAGCTCATCGCCTTCATGAGCACCGACTGGCTGGTGGGATTCCCGCGGACGCCAGACGCCGTCTTCTCTCCGCAGGGGGCCACGGCGGCGGGCGAGGCGTACCGACCCACGCTGGGCATCTACGGCCGCTGCATCCGTCTGCCTCACCTGCGGCGCGGTGTCCTGTGCGGCCCGTACGCCGTGCACTTCGGAGAGATCGCCAGCGGGTTCTGGCAGGCCACCTCCATCTTCCTCGCCGCCGCGATCCTGCTGCTGAGCGCCGTGGCCTTTATCTCCGTCTTCACTATGTGCTTCCAGAGCATCATGAAGAAAAGCATCTTCAACGTGTGCGGACTCCTGCAGGCACACACACACACTCACACACACACACACACACTAACACACACACACACACTGATTGTTCTGGAAAACAAGACAAAAATACTGTTGAAGAAGTTGATGTTGTTCAGTGTGTGATTCATCACAGTGTCTGCTCACGAGTCTAGGCCGCTATTATTTTCCCAGTGTGGAAAACACAGACAGAAACACAGAATCTGCTCAAAAAAACTGAAACTTACTGTATAACGCAGAATGTCCTGGAATTATAATAATAAATATGTAGGGCTGGACAACTGATCAGTTGTTTGTGAATATTCACCTGCACAAAGAGTGCTGTGTAAATGCGAATCTGCATGTTGTGTGTGTCAAGAAATTATGACAGGAATACATGAGAATCATCAAAGAGAATAATAATATTTAAACATTATTAAAACACTATATCTTAAGGAATATTACACAATTTTTAGTCCATGTTTTGATTTAAACAGTATTCCTCTATTGTGCAGCACTTTGTCTTCCAAATAAATGAAAGGAATTGTTCAAATTTGATGTTCACTTTATAAAACAAAAAGTTGTTTAGCTTTATGCATTCACTTTATTACCAGCTGTTTTAACAATAAATGTGTATTAAACCTAACACAGAATCCAGAAAAATTCAAACAGACTGCAACATTTCTGGAAAAATAAAACAAATTTGATTGTGCACTATTATTGATAAAATATTAATACATTATTAAATTGATAAAGTTTTAACCTTTTTTATTATTACATTTTAATGTAACCATTAAAATTTATTTAACCATCCAGAAAAATGAAAACAGAAAACAGAATTTGGGAGGAAAAAAATCAGATTTCATAGAGTCTGAAGGCTTTGAGAACTTCATTGAAGAGTTTATCATCTCAAGCTGCTTTGGATGCGACTGTCAGAGAAACAAACGCATTCAAGTCAGTTCAAACATCAAATCACTGCAGATCAACACACTGTGAAATGTTGTCGGTGGAGTGTTTTTACAATGTTTTTAGTGTTTCAAAAATTCACTTTAATTCAATGCATTACTTGCTGTCTCTGTAACTGTCCTCCGTCTGCAGGTCTGTTCCTGATCCTGGGTCTGATGCTGTATCCCGCCGGCTGGGGCTCAGATAAAGTGCAGGGTTACTGCGGCCCCGACGCCTCGGCCTATCAGCTGGGCCTGTGCTCCATGGGCTGGGCCTTCTACACCGCGCTGGGCGGCACCGTCCTCACCTTCGTCTGCGCCGTGTTCTCCGCGCAGGCCGAGATCGCCACGTCCAGCGATAAAGTGCAGGAGGAGATCGAGGAGGGCAAGAGCCTGATCTGTCTGCTGTGAGGACTGGAGTAGGACTGGAGCGCGCCGTTCCCTCAGTCAGCCTGTGTCTGTTTCTCATGTTGGATGATCTGATGTGTGTCCGTCTGATGTAAATATACCTGTATATGATGTAAATATGATTGTGAAGGGTCGTGGGTTCCAGTCGCCCAGAAACCACTGCACCGCGCCGCTCGATCTCGTGTGTGAGGAGATGATTGTGAACGCTGAATCACATCAGTGAGCATGTGCCAGAATCACTGACGCTTTTCCAGTGCCAAAATCACACCATCCTGATGCCTTGAGCTGCCAAACCAGACCTGAGACTCACAGAGCCAAAGACAAGTGTGTGTGTCTGTCTGTCCGTCCCTCTGTGTGT